GAGGCCCCTCATAACACCATCTGTGAGGGAACTACTACACCACGTGAGGTCCCTCCTAACACCATCTGGGAGGGGGTTACTACACTACGTTTTTGCTGTTCAACACCTACATTAATCTGTATGTTCACTGTATGTTCCTTTACCTTTCTCTAATGAAGGCTTTTGTTAAACCACCAATGTATGTAATAAGTCATTTATGCCCAATGTATATTTTCAGCCTTCGGGCTGCAGAACTTTTTCAATAAACCGTTAATTATTATTATTATTATTATTATTACACACACACACACACACACACACACACACACACACACACACACACACTCGTTGACGTAGGTGCAGGATATATAATAGGCAATTTATGGCCTCCCGCACCATCAGCTGGTCGCCATTAACCACCCGCTGTGTCATGTTCAATTTTAGGGGATGGGTCCTTAGATTTTAGGATGAGTCTTTAAATTTTAGGGGGAATGTTGTTATTTTTCAAGTTTGGGGAATATTTGTGGGGGAATGTTGTGTTATTTTTCAAGTTTGGGGAATATTTGTGGGGGAATGTTGTGTTATTTTTCAAGTTTGGGGAATATTTGTGGGGGAATGTTGTTATTTTTCAAGTTTGGGGAATATTTGTGGGGGAATGTTGTGTTATTTTTCAAGTTTGGGGAATATTTGCCGAGTTTGTTATTATTATCTGAAATTCTGGATGAAAATGACATATGAACAATTACCGTGATATAAATTGTTCTTTTAACATGTGATGTATTACGCTGACTGAAGGCTTTATTGACATTGCAATTCTATATTAAACTCTGATAAAATTAATGGTTGCAATTCAAATGGACCCCGTCCTAATGGGCCCCAGTTTGTAATTGACCCCAACCTAATCTAATCTAACCTAACCTAAACTGTGTGTGTCATTTGGAATGGTTTCCTATTTTGGGGATATTATTAGTATTTGTTATTATTATTGTTATTTTTTATAAATATTATAGAATTTTATTTGTTATTATTATTATTATTATTATTATTATTATTATTATTATTATTATTATTGTTATTGTTATTATTATTATTTTTATTGTTATTATTATTATTATTTTTATTATTATTATTTTTATTATTATTATTAAACCTCTTCATATTTAACTAACCATCTCCCCATTGTCTCCTGCAGGAATCCCTGAAGGAGTTGAAGAAGCAGGTGTCGCAGCACCCGTCCATAGTGCCCGCGGACTTTGACATCAGTCGGGAGGGGAAGTTGATCCTACATGTGTCACCAGAGGGAGGAGAGCACATTGAGTTTGATATGCACAGTGACTCAGCCACCCTCATCCTCAATACCAGCCCCGCCCTTAATGCCCAGGTATGTGCTGTGGGTGTAACTTGTAGGTGTATTGGTGTAGGGTGTAGGTGTAGACAGGTCACCCAACCACCCTTACCCTCATAATCAGTTCTACCCTTAATGCCCACGTATGTGTTTTGTGTGGGTTTAGCTTGTTAGGTGTAATTGTGTAGGGTGTAGGTGTGAGTGTAGACAGTCCACCCCCAAGACCAGCCCCGTCCTTAACACCCTGACCGCCTACCGTCTTGCCGCTGTGAACCTGACCGTCTACTGTGATGACAAAGACCTACCCTGAAACCTGAAGCAGATTCGACACGTTTTACTGTAGCATAAAAATATTTGTGGATTCATTTTACGACTCGAAATCTCAGTAAATTTTTATCGTGGCGCTGACCTCGGTGGTGACGCTTTTATTATGAGGTAAACATTCTAGTCAGAGTTATATTTCTAATGAGTCTGGGAAAACAGTCGAACGTTTTTGGGGGAAAATTATCCTTAAATCTTTCGCTCAAATTGAGACGTGGAAGACATAGATTCCTTTATAGTTTATTTTCGTCTACCTATTTTATGACAGTTTTTGCAATATACTCACAAAAGCCATATGTAAGTTATGTCTATGGGAGATTATGTTATGAGATTTAAAAGGTAAAAAATATCTTAAATCAACAACAACAGGAGTTTATACAGTTCCACATAAACTCATCCTCGTTAAAGAATATAACGAGTCTTTGAGAGTTGATTAGGTGCCTTAAGTGCTGTTTGTGGTAATGGAAGTGTGAGGTTTATAATCTAACCTAACCTAACCTAACCTAACCTTGGCGTCTTAGAGTATATAACATAATATGAGTGGAGTTGATGTTAGCCAGGCAGCTGAGGGCGAGACTCTAGTAAAGTAGAGACAGAGAGGATAAAAGCGCCATTTTTTCCAGGTGATCCTTACGTCAGATGCTCCCAGTTGTCGGTAGGATCCAGGAAAATAAGTCATCATTGTAATATTTATGGACGAAACATTACAAAATTTATTCTTTCGTCTAGTCATCATTGTAATATTTATGGACGATACATTACAAAATTTATTCTTTCGTCTATAACATGAATATAAAGCTAATGAAAGTAATTTAAATGCATCATACCACCAAATAATATCCCACAGTATGAGTAAAATATTGTTGATAAAAAGTTAGAAAAATGCTTGGCTTAATCTCACCTAACTAATGACATGGTGAGGGTCAGGTGGGCCATTAGCCTTCCGAGAATGGTTAATAACTGGGGAGGAAAGCGTGACAGTTGATGATTGACTGGTATGGGAGGACAGTTGATGATTGACTGGTATGGGAGGACAGTTGATGATTGACTGGTATGGGAGGACAGTTGATGATTGACTGGTATGGGAGGACAGTTGATGATTGACTGGTATGGGAGGACAGTTGATGATTGACAGGTATGGGAGGACAGTTGATGATTGACAGGGATGGGGGGACAGTTGATGATTGACTGGTATGGGAGGACAGTTGATGATTGACTGGTATGGGAGGACAGTTGATGATTGACTGGTATGGGAGGACAGTTGATGATTGACAGGTATGGGGAGGACAGTTGATGATTGACGAGGATGGGGGGACAGTTGATGATTGACTGGTATGGGAGGACTGGTTGATGATTGACAGGGATGGGGACAGTTGATGATTGACTGGTATGGGAGGACAGTTGATGATTGACTGGTATGGGGACAGTTGATGATTGACTGGGATGGGGGACAGTTGATGATTGACTGGTATGGGAGGACAGTTGATGATTGACTGGTATGGGAGGACAGTTGATGATTGACTGGTATGGGAGGACAGTAGTTGATGATTGACTGGTATGGGAGGACAGTTGATGATTGACTGGTATGGGAGGACAGTTGATGATTGACTGGGATGGGAGGACAGTTGATGATTGACTGGTATGGGAGGACAGTTGATGATTGACTGGTATGGGAGGACAGTTGATGATTGACTGTTAAATATCTGGCTTTATGTTACGGAAGGTCTTGTAGGTAAAGTTAACCGGGATTTTAAACTGTATTAACATAAATGTATTTGTTCACGAAGATTTTAGGCTAAATATTATTGAAGGTAAAATATTAATCTAATTAATTTATTTAGCATTTAAGATTAAGTATACTGTATATAGCCTTAACTAACCTAACCTAACCTAACTTAACCTCCATAACTTAACCTAACCTAACCTAACTTAACCTCCATAACCTAACCTAACCTAACTTAACCTCCATAACTTAACCTAACCTAACCTAACTTAACCTCCATAACCTAACCTAATCTAACTTAACCTCCATAACCTAACCTAACCTAACCTAACCTAATTTATCTTAACCTTAATCTAAACTCAATTCCTCTTTGCCACACACAGCTTGACAACCAAGATGCCTCACCTAGCAAGGCCTCAGAGAGCATCGAACTGCAGGAACTGACCCAAATACAGGTGCAGCAGGAGCATAAACAACAAGAGCAACAACAACAACAACAGCAGCAGCTACAGGAGGAGGTTAAGATACAGGAGGAGGAGAAGGAGGAGATAGAGACGGAGACAGAGAAAGAGAAGATTGGTGTAGTAGATGAAGATGATCTCCCACCAGCCATCATTAACGCTACCTTAGACCAGGAGCTGAAGAGGGCCATTCATACCGCCGCTCAGGGCAGAGACGTCCATCATATCCAGGTACTGTTCCCTCCACTCACTCTTGTTCCATCCACTTACTGTGTTTTTGTTCCCTCCACTCACTCTTGTTCCCTCCACTTATTGTGGTTTTGTTCCCTCCACTCACTCTTGTTCCCTCCACTCATTGTGTCACAACAAAGAAAAATCTCAGTAGTAAACAAGACATTAATTACCTCTTGTCATTAAATTACCAATTGATTGTTAGCTTGTTTGTGTATGTAATAGTAGAGACTTGTAGCTAAGGGATGGAGGAAGGTCAGGTCAGGTAAGGTCAAGTTAGGTCGGATTAGGTCGATACACCAAAGTCCCAACTGTGATTTCCCTAGAAAACACAAACTCTTTCACTCACTATGACCACAGAATGCTATGGAAAGTGACCCGAGATATGTAGGTGGAAAGTGACCTGAGATGTGTAGGTGGAAAGTGACCTGAGATGTGTAGGTGGAAAGTGTCCTGAGATGTGTAGGTGGAAAGTGACCTGAGATGTGTAGGTGGAAAGTGACCTGAGATGTGTAGGTGGAAAGTGACCTGAGATGTGTAGGTGGAAAGTGACCCGAGATATGAAGGTGGAAAGTGTCCTGAGATGTGTAGGTGGAAAGTGACCTGAGATGTGTAGGTGGAAAGTGACCTGAGATGTGTAGGTGGAAAGTGACCTGAGATGTGTAGGTGGAAAGTGACCCGAGATATGTAGGTGGAAAGTGACCTGAGATATGTAGGTGGAAAGTGTCCTGAGATGTGTAGGTGGAAAGTGACCTGAGATGTGTAGGTGGAAAGTGACCTGAGATATATAGGTGGTACCGGAAGTGTCATGAGTTCAGGTCACATAAGGTTACGTGTGGTAATAGGAAATCCAGGTCAATCAGGGTCAAACATGGTTAGTAGGGACGTTCATTGTGATGGCTTGCTCTCCGCGTAGCTCTAGTCATGTTAGTTTACTGCAGGTGAGTGGAAGTCTGTGTCACCAGGTGCACTCTGTTGATTACCTGCCAGTGTGAGGAAGGTGTTGACAGTGGGGGTGTGGTGGTGAAGTGGTGTAATGGTGCTGGTGTAGGTGTGGTGGTGTAAGTGTGGTGGTGTAGGTGTAGGGGTGTACAGTAGGTGTGATGGTGTAGATGTGGTGGGGGTGTGGTGGTGTAATGGTGCTGGTGTAGGTGTGGTGGTGTAAGTGTGGTGGTGTAGGTGTAGGGGTGTACAGTAGGTGTGATGGTGTAGATGTGGTGGGGGTGTGGTGGTGTAATGGTGCTGGTGTAGGTGTGGTGGAGTGGTGGTGTAGATGTGTAGGTGGTGGTGGTGTAGATGTGGTGGTGGTAGATGTGGTGGTGGTGGTGGTGTAGATGTGGTGGTGGTGTAGATGTGGTGGTGTAATGGTGGTGGTGTGTAGGTGTGGTGGTGTTGTAGTGGTGTAGGTATTGTTATTGATACTGAAACAGTTTATTTAGCCAGAAGAACACAGATACAGAGTCGATTAAAAATCATTATATTAACATGGCTGAGCCAGTTGAGAACCTGAGCTCTCTTGTAGGCACCTGATATATACTGTACATTTATCTCAAGGAAGTATTATGTAACATTTAGTATCATCTGGAATAGTACACATAGCATGGTGGTACAGGTGTAGGTGTGGTGGTGGTGGTGGTGGTGGTTGTGGTGTAAGAGATTGGTTGTTAAGAGACGGATATTTATGATTATTGAAGCAATTAGTGAGTCTACCTGTCTTACACTGTATTAACGAGTGTGTGTGTGTGTGTGTGTGTGTGTGTGTGTGTGTGTGTGTGTGTGTGTGTGTGTGTGTGTGTGTTACAGTTATGAAAAGCCTTTTATTCTATTTCAAAATGTACTTTTTCTCTTCACGTTATTGGTGTTATGCCAGGAGGAAATTGAAAGATGTTCAATAGTTTTTAATTATAATATTTGTATTAAAACATAATGAAGCGCCCCAGCTATTTTATTTTTTGATACAGTAACACAACATTATATTTAACGTGCAAAACAACATGTCATTATATATGTTTATTACTGTATAATAGAGGCGTTAATAAGATAGAGTAAGTGAAACGTGGGTCGTGGATACCGTAGACTTGTGTTTGTATTGGGGTGTTTTGTTTGTGTTAATAGTTGCGTGTTTGTGTCAATAGTTGTGTGTTTGTCAATAATTGTGTTTGTGTCAATTGTTGTGTGTTTGTGTCAATAGTTGTGTGTTTGTCAATAGTTGTGTTTGTCAAAAGTTGTGTTTGTCAAAAGTTGTGCATTTGTGTGTGTGTGTGTGTGTGTGTTTTGTTATAGCTGTACAAGGCAACTAATTTACACGTGTGCTTTTGTTTGTTCCAGTTTTTGTATTTGTTTCACTTGTACAAACTAACCATTGTACACTTGTATTTGTTCCAGCTGTACAAGCCAGAGGGCAGCAGCTTAGGCTTCAGTGTAGTAGGACTGAGGTCAGAGAAGCGAGGCGAACTGGGCATCTACGTGCAAGGCATCCAACCAACGGGCATCGCTGCACAGTGAGTGTTACCTTATGCCCTGTACCTCCTTGTTGGGTGATGATAGTGAACATGGTGGTGACTGAAGGTGATGATGGTGGTGGTTAGTGATGATGGTGATGATGATGATGACCGAACCCTTCCTTTAGGAGATGTGTGTTATTTTGGTATTCTCTTGTGTACATCGCCCCAATAAGTCACCCAAACCAAATTTGATATAAATTATGTATATGTGTTAGTCTTAGTATTTGGTAATGTTTTCTGATGTATCTATTTACTAGTGTTTCCCCTGTTTATTGATGTTTTTTAAAGTATTATGTAAATCACAGGTAAATACAGTATTTTTATTTTGAAAGGTAAATGTATTATAAAATTCTTGGATATGTTTATGTTGTTTCGCTGTGCTGGGGGAGGGAGGGTGTCATAAGGGGAGCTTGGTCACTGGTTGAGGTGTAGGAGGTAAGGTTGAACCCCTGAATGGACTCCCCCAGGTAGGTGCCAGGTGAATTAATGTGACCAAATTACCCCAGGTGACGTAAGTTTATTTACGTGATTACTTGTCAGTTTTGGAGATATAAATTTTATATATCAGTTTATTGTCCTTTTTTTTGCGTGGGGTGGATAAAGGAAAACAGATTCGTAAACGTGTGGGGGGAAATTCTGGTAACACGTGTAAAAACGATTTGAAACCGCTGACAGCAAGAACACCCCGCTGACAGCCCCTCTTATCCACATTAAAGTGCATTTCTAACGTAGACAAAATACATTAGTTATATCTTCGGTTTTAACTACTGTATTAGGCTTCATATTAACTCACTGTACTGATTTAGTTAGGTGTTTGTTAATATATTTTAGCCCCTTGGAGCCTTACCTGGTTAACGCGCGCTAAACACCTGTCTTTGTTGCCTTCTATACATGGTTTCCTTCACCCATGTACGTAACCTGCCCACCGGATCACTTAATTACCATTCTCTTGTAAACACCTGCCCATGCCGGCTCATATACCTGCCTTGCTCACCTGATTAGTTAATTACTGTTCTCGCCTAAACACCTGTTCATTTCAGCTTCGCCTATGTCACACACACACACACACACACACACACACATTTGCGTTGTGTAGCCCATGAAATAATATCTTGGATGGATGCTAAGTTTTGCTAGAAGTTCACACCCATTTTTGACCGACAGGGCGGGTCAAACAGCACGTGATCCAGAATGCATCTTGAAATGTTTTTGTTATTAAGGTGAAATTGCGTAATTATCTGAATCGCCGCAGAAGACTCTGGATAGCTGGATGGATTAGGGATTATCTGTAAGTTGGATCGGAAGTTTTCACCCAATGGTAATCCGTATCGTAACAATGGGTTGCAAATCTGATATTCCTTTGGTTGACAGCGTTTATGTTTAGGACTGTCATTGGCTAGAGTTTCCGCACAGTATACCTATTGGCCAGCGGTTTCTTATTAGCGCCGTCGCTTTTAGTCGGCATTTTCATAGGACGGTCAGTGGCTACCAAAGTCAGGTTTCTCATTGACCAGCGTCATGTGTCCAGGCTTGTCGTATGTACCACACATACGTCTAGCCAAGTCTCTACACACGACTATGATTGGCCAGGAAACTCTTCACACAGCACTGATTGGCCAGCCACGTGTGTCCTGGCATCGTATGTACCGCAAAAGACAACCTCTTTGAGCGACAGTCTGTGAGGGACTGACTGGGGTATACAGAGTCCGCCAGGCACCCACGTGGGCTCTTGAGCAACAAGTGGGCGGCCAGTTGCTAAATGTCAACAAACGGGGAATGTAAACACCGAACTTAAGTCTCATCTCTTTAACGTTTTACTTCTGTCTGATCTTTTGTTAATTCTACTCTTAGTTTAGTTATTATTGATTTATTTCTGAAGGATAGAGTGTGGGAAATATCTTTGGTTTAAAGGTTTTCGGTAACTTTATATGAGGAGGTAATCAATAACTGCGGTGGTGGCCGATAGGTGGCAGCAGCACATAGAGAGCGGGCGGGATCATGGCTTCCCTCGGCGCCGAACAGATGGCGTTCACGTCCTGGTTGACTTTGCTGTCCTAACGAGATGATATAAAATTTCCCCTGTAAAAAATTGTAGAGTTATAATTATCCTGCGGAATTTTTAAAGGGGTGTTGTTATAGATGAACAATATAAAAAGGTTACCCTAAAGTTGCCCTTCAAAATCATAGTTGTTGGTCCGAGTATAAACAGAGAAAACGGTTACACCTTGACATAGAAAGTGGGTCATCACGGCACATGGAGGATATGGTAGACTTAGACAATAAAATATATCCTTTTTTTATAGTACAGTATATATTTTGGTGATTTATTATTTTACTTTTCATGTAATAGAAAAATGTCATTGGAAAGAGGCAGATCAAAATATTATTATAGTAATATACAAAATTTGAAACATCGAGCTGTAGACGTTACGAAGACAAAGTTATTTAATTAGTTGAAAAAGAGATCACGTAAACAAGATTGATGGATACTAGTTAAAGAAATTATCACAGTCAAGGGAGTGAATTTTTTAATATATAATCTGTTGTTTATTCTGGGTGTGTTGATACTAATTAATAAGTGGGTGTACCTGTGAGAAAGGTGAGGTAATAGTAAGTTTAGACTAATCTATACTATTATTATTACTACTACTACTACTACTACTACTACTACTACTACTACTACTACTACTACTACGACTCTATCTGTCATCCAGATCTACCCTGTCATACCTTATCCTACCCTAACCAAATCTATCCTGATCTAACCTAACCTAACCTATTCTAATCTAATCTAATCTATCCAGGCCTAAATAAAACGTGTCGTATCCTAACCTAAACTATCGTAACCAATCCTACCCTTTCTTCTCTCTTCCTCCTCCCTTCTTCTCTCTTCCTCCTCCCTTCTTCTCTCTTCCTCATAACCTATATCATCTTCCTCCTCCCACAACCTCTTCCTTCTTCTTCTCAACCTCTAAATAAAGAAGACAGACAGACAGACTAACCAAATTACTCATATAGTGAACATACTCGTTATTTAATGAACATTGAGTGAACAGAACACAATTAAACCATCACTATTGATCTTGAACACCTCAGGGAATATAAATATCCCTAATGTATCTTGTTTCCCCTAACATGACCGAACCTCTTTATTTATTTCCCTAGTATATTCCCTACGTGTTAAAAACCTCCCCTGTATTGGTGATTCATAGGTTATTATTGGTTAATTGAACTCGAGGAAAACGTTTATCATTGGTCAATTAGATTAAGTATATAGTTAGATGGATAAAGCCTTTCCTGTATGGGTGATTTATAGCCCCTGATTGGTTAATTGAAATCGAGAAGAATAGTTATCATTGGTCAGTTTGAATCCTTAACCCACGAGATAGGAAAAGACAAGAGACCAAGTATTTATTCTCTTATTTGATTTATTTGATTTATTTTCTATTTATTATTTCATCCTTCTTTAATCCCTCTTTCGTTTGCATTTAATTCCCACGTCTGTCCTGGGGGGATTTTTATGCTGTGGTTTTTAATTTCCTTCTCGTTCTGATTTACTTTTCTGCTGCCCGTGTTTAATTTTTAGTTATTCTGGGTTTTTTTTTTATTCTTATTCATTTGGTTTAAAATTTTGTTTCCCAACCATGTTTTTTATAGAGTTTTTAATTTAAATATCTTTCATTATGTTTTATTATTTTCCATTCCTCATCTCTTGCTTTTATTACATTCACCCCATCTCTCTCTCTCTCTCTCTCTCTCTCTCTCTCTCTCTCTCTCTCTCTCTCTCTCTCTCAATAAGCCACAGCTGGGGAGGTTTGTATGTCGTCTGCAGATGGCTTGTTAATTTATTCCCGCCTTTTATCTCCCTTCAGCCAACAGGGGGAGGGAGGGAGGCAGTGTATAGCGATCTGGGTGAGAGAGAGAGAGAGAGAGAGAGAGAGAGAGAGAGAGAGAGAGAGAGAGCACACAACAATATTTATGCCTTGTGTCCAGCTTTGTGTGTGTGTGTGTTATGGTGACCTGTGGTGCACTGGTCAGCATGCTCGCCTCGCAAGCGAGTGGACCCGGATTCGATCCCCGGGCAGGGTGAAAATATGGGCAAGTTTCTTTACGCCATTTGCCTCTGTCTACCCAGCAGTAATTGGGGACCTGGATGTTAATCGATTTTCGGATCGTGTTCCTGAGTAATGGTTAGCCAGTGCAGTTGGCGAGTTGTCCGGTCTTCTTGGACTATTCCTTGACACTGGGTCATGCAGCTCGTTAACTCAGGGTGTGGTTGTTGTGTTGGCGACAGCTTCTACACCTTAAACAAATTTACGCCTAGGTGACCCTAGGGCCGGCCATCCTCGTTACACGAGGGGCAACCATTATTATTATGTGTCTGTGTGTGCGCGCGCCACTCTGTACATTTAGTGTTAAAGGATGCGCTGATGTGCGTGTATTAAATTGCGTTCGTTCATCCGTCTGTCCATCTATCCTCTCCACACCCCCTTCCTCCCCACCCAGGCACTTAACACCCCTCCCCTCCTCACCCAGGCTCTTAACACCCCTCCCTTCCTCCGCACCCAGGCTCTTAGCACCCCAACACCCTTCCTCCCCACCCAGGCACTTAACAACCCTCCCTCCTCCCCCACCCAGGCTCTGCTACCCTTCCTCCCCACTCCAGATTCTTAGCACCTCCCTTCCTCCCCCCTCAGGCTCTTAATACCACCCTTCCTCCCCTCAGATTCTTAGCACCCTCCTTCCTCCCCACTCAGGCTCTTACCCCCCCCCCCTCCCCACCCAGGCTCTGCCTTCCTTCCTCCCCTCCCCACTCAGGGTCACACCACACCCAGGGGCATCAGGGCTTCATTCTTCCCCTGAACTCTGACATTTTTCCCCGCCTTCACCCTTTCCTTCTTCCTATTCATACATTGCTTCGCCGCAGCCACTGTTTACACGAGCCCAGACGTCTTTTTATTTTCTTTCTTGCCGTGTTTTACCTTTTTCCCTACCGTGACT